CCCTTCCACGGAGGTGGAAGGGACGGTAGCCAACCCGGAAAGAACCAGCAGCAAACCCGGGGAGGGCCGAGCAGACAAAAGAACAGCGCAGGGTCCTGTGTCGTTCCTCCACGAAGACGGGGAGCGACACTAAGTATTAAAACTTATTATATTACTTTTGATCTTTTTCTTTTCTGTTATGTCTTGTACTATTTTGTCCCTAATTTCTAGCGTCACCTCCTTATTTTTCAATTTTGTTGTGAATGGTTTTGATTCCCTTGGCACTTTGTTATTGGTACATATTTTGGAACTTTACATACATATTGGTGATGCCCTTCCTAGCACAATTAGTAAAGGAGACAAAAAAAAGAGCATTACATATTTTAAAAAATTGTCAAGATATAACATGGAGTGGTAATTTGTCCTAATAGTTTAGAGTAAATAAGGATATTTTCCCCAAATATGTACACAACATAATGTTAAAGGTGTTAACACTGGGATTACATGTGACATCGTAAACTTATAGCCATTTAGTTTACGTTGACAACATTTGAAATAGCATATAAAAGTTCTCCTATATGCCTCAGTCCAGTCATTTTTTCCCTTGTATCATACAAAATCTTTACATGTTGAGTGTGCCAAAATGCCTGTTGATACCTATTTTATATATTTTCCTTTTAAATGTTAGAGAAAAGGTGGACTCATGGTCTGTCATTTGGGGCAACAGTTATTTCACCCTTTTGGATGTCCACATCCCATATGGGAGTGCCTGGGATTGAGTGTGGGCTCCAGTCCTGATTTTACCTTTTTCCTGATGTGCACTCTGAGAGGCAGCAGGTGAAGGCTCCTGTGGGTGGATCTCTGCTGACCAGATTGAGTTCATGGCTCCATAGGATTTGAGGAGAGAATCAGCAGGTGGGAGTTCTCTGTGTCCATCTGTCTCTGCCTCATTCTTTGTTTTCAAATAAAAAATGAATATATGGATTTCATAGTAGTACTAAAACCCAGAAATACAATAATAACTGTTTTTATATTTGCCATGTGGTTACCCTTTTGTGGCCAGTGGATGGCATGAGGACCTGATACAATTCCTTCTCCTACACCTCAGTGGAATCAGAAACTCTCGACAACCTGGGAATGTACATCCCAAGCTCATTCCACCACAATTGTGCACTAACTTCCCATGCAGGACCTCTGTCCTCAATGAGTTTTATTATGAGAGTTAACTGTAAAACTAGTTCTTAGTTTGTATATGTGTGTGTGCGCGCAAACGCACGGAAATTGTTGAAATCTTTATTTAGTATAGAGTTGGTCTTCTGTGTATGAAATTAATTGAAAATGAATCTTCCCGGCGCCACGGCTCACTAGCCTAATCCTCCGCCTTGCGGCACCGGCACACCGGGTTCTAGTCCCGGTCGGGGCGCCGGATTCTGTAACAGTTGCCCCTCTTCCAGGCCAGCTCTCTGCTGTGGCCAGGGAGTGCAGTGGAGGATGGCCCAAGTGCTTGGGCCCTGCACCCTATGAGAGACCAGGATAAGTACCTGGCTCCTGCCATCAGATCAGCGCGGTGCTGCCTATCAAAAAAAAAAAAAAGAAAGAAAGAAAGAAAGAAAGAAAAAAAAATGAATCTTAAAATGGAGAATGGGACTGGGAATGGGAGAGGGAGGAGGAGGAGGGTTGGGAGTGTGGGTGGGAGGGCGGGTATGGTGGGAAGAATTACTATTTTCCTAAAGTGGTACTCAGGAAATTTGTATCCTTTATATAAAAGGTTTATTTGGGGGAAAAAAAGAAATTATGGGATATGTACACCGTGGAATACTACACGGCGGTTAAAAATGAAATCTGATTGTTTGCAACAAAATGATTCAAACTGGAAAATATCATACTTGGTGAAATAACCTAGTCCCAAAAGGACAAATACCATATGTTCTCCCTGACCTGTGATAGCTAATAGAGCACCTAAAAGGCAATCTACAGGAGTGAAATTGACACTGAGAAACAGTGACCTTGAACAGCCCTTGTCTCAACTGTTGAGGAAGTTTTTTTTTTCACACTATTTGTTGAACTCTTTACTTAACACAGTTAATCATATGTGTATAAAGTTAATTTAAAATAGATCTTAGTAAAAAACATAAGAATGAGAATAGGAGAGGGAGGTGGAAGAGGAGTGGGAGAGTGGATGTGAGGTTGGGTATGTGGGAATAATCATCATGTTCCTAAAGCTGTAATTTAAGTGTATGAAGTTTGCATTATTTAAATAATTTTTTTCTGGGGGAAAATTGCAGGATATATACACCATGGAATATCACTCAGCAGTTAAAAAATGAAATCCTTTTTTTATTTAATAAATGTAAATTTACAAAGTACAACTTTTGGATTATAGCAACTTTTCCCCCATAACCTCCCTCCCACCCACAGCCATCCCATCTCCCACTCCCTCTCCCATCCCACTCTGCATCAGGATTCATTTTCAATTATCTTTATATACAGAAGATCAACTTAGTATATACTAAGCAAAGATGAAATCCTGTCTTTTGCAACATATGGAAGTAACTCAAAACCATTATACTTAGTGAAATAAGCCAGTCCAAAAACAGGTATCATGTGTTTTCCCTGATCTGGGGTAACTAATCGAGTATCTAAAATGTAATGTATTGGAGTGAAATAGACATTTTGAGATTTAATGATTGTTTACAGCCTTTGTCTCTTCTGTTGAGGAACACTGTTTTCGTTCTACATGCTATTTTTGAACTCTTTTACTTAGTGTAAGGTTAACCTCACTATCATTAAGCTAACTTAAAATAGATCTCTGTAAAAAATTAAGAGTGGGAATGAGAGAGGGAGGAATGAGAGAGAGCATGTGCGAGAGGGAGGGGAGGGTGGGAAATATCACTACATTCCTAAATTTGTATATATGAAATACATGAAACTTGTATGACTTAAATAAAAAAATTTTAAAATAACAAAATATGATCTGACAAAGAAGACCTGGTCATGGAGGGAGCTCACAGGGTTTGTGGCTTGACTAGCAGGCAAAGGAGTATTGTTGATACATTGGATACCACAATGGTATTTTAGCCTGTAGAATTAAGGAAAATGTAGCCAAACTGGGTCCAAATTTCCCAAAACTCACTACCACCAGATCTGCAGCTCCTTTCAAACACTGCATGCATACCTGCATGCACTGTGGAACAGAGCTAATAAACTCATCATGGATTTTGTACTTAGCTTTGGAAAATATTTCTTAGTAGAATGTATGGTTTTCTATGGTCTTAAAGAAATCATTTGATCCCATGACCTAATTGTACAAATGAGTCTCCCCTGCCAAAGCAAATGAAACAGTATTTAAAACTAACACAGGTAATATGGTTTGACTGGAAAGCCAAGACACCGTGGCAAAAAAATGTTCTACTTGAAGGATCTCTGTGAGAGAGACCCCAGGAGAAAGAAGTGGCCGTCAAAGGGAGGAGAGAACTTCCACTTTGCTTATAGCCCTGTCTAAACACTGAAGGAGTCTGTGGATTCAAAAGGCTTCAATAGCCTTGGCAGCTCATGTCAAGAGCCTCTGGTGGTCAGTGACATCATACATAAGGGTGTTAATTGTTAAAATAACAATTGGAATCACTGTACACTAACTTCCCATGCAGGACCTCTGTCCTCAGGGAGTTGTATTATTAGAGTTAACTGTAGGGGCCAGCACCATGGCTCACTTGGCTAATCCTCCACCTGCAGCACCAGCACTCTGGGTTCTAGTCACGGTTGGGGCGCCGGATTCTGTCCCGCCGGTTGCTCCTCTTCCAGTCCAGCTCTCTGCTGTGGCCCGGGAAGGCAGTGGAGGATGGCTGAGGTCCTTGGGCCCTGCACCCGCATGGGAGACCAGGAGGAAGCACCTGGCTCCTGGCTTCGGACTGGCATAGCTCCAGCTGTAGCGGCTGTTTGGGGGATGAACCAATGGAAGGCAGACCTTTCTCTCTGTCTCCCTCTCTAACTTTATCTGTCAAATAAATAAATTTTTAAAAATTTTTAAAGAGTTAACTGTAAAACTAGTTCTTTGTGTGTATGTGTATGTGTGTGTGTACGTGCATATTGTTGAAATCTTTACTTAGTATAGAGTTGGTCTTCTGTGTATAAAGTTAACTGAAAATGAATCTTAATGGAGAATGGGACTGGGAATGAGAGAGGGAGGAGAAAGAGAGGTGGGAACGGGGGTGGGATTGAGGCTGATAGGAAGAATCACTATATTCCTAAAGTTATATTTATGAAATTTGTATTCCTTAAAAAATTAATTATTTAACAAAAAAGAATATGGTTTGAGTTTACAGCCTCTACCCCCTATCCAAAGAAATTTCACATAAACTATTGCTTTAAAATAGTGCCACCAAAAACCAAAACAACCACTCCCTGACAGCCCACTTATTTAAAATAGTATCCCCAAGGAAAAAATCTTTGGATATTAGAAATTCCTCAAGAGATTATTCACTCATAAAGTTCAGTTGGTGCCATGTCATTAGGATAAATATTTGAGTACATTAATTTTTTTTACCTTTCTTAGGTCAGTGAAACTATTCAAAATTGCTTGTTTATTCCAATTTTTAGGCAAATTTCAAGTTTCTAAAAGTCACTCCCACCCACCACCTTAATGAAAATACTGCAGTAATATTTTCATGCTAACATATCACAGTGTTGCAGAAATGTAAAATTTAGGGCTGCCACTTTCAACACCAATTTAAAGCAAACTAGGAACAACATCAGAGACCAAATACTTGGATTTTAACCTATCTCCTCCATCAATCTCAGAGTTAGTTACTCTTCCAGTGTGTTCTGTTTGTGTGAATGAAATGCCTGAACATTAATAAATTTACTTATTTAGCTAAAAGCTTATACCTAGTTTAAAAATCTGAAATGACTACATACAGTTAAACCATCTCATAATCTAGCTCCACAGTGTGTAAATATGGATACTTCACAGCAAAGAATAAACCCCAACATGATTCACACCAAAAGTTCTCTAAAAGATAGCATTGTTAGAAGAAGTTGAATTTTATTTATATAAATTTGTACAAAGAAAAGAACCAGCTTTGTTTCAACTTTTTTCCATTAGGAAAACAGGTTACTTCCACCACCAAGAAAACTCCACCAGCTGAGGTTTACTCATCCCACTTCTCAGCTTCCAAAGCCCCGAAGTGCAAAACTCATTCCCCAAACACGGGATAGTGAACAAAAACACAGCAACTTGAGAATGTCTGGGAAGGACAAAGGTGTCACCGTCCTGGAGCAGGTTTTACACTGGCATCTTGGCCTAATCTCTCTTTTCAGGTTTACTGACCTGCACTCTGGCCTCGGTCACATTCAGGTTTATTGCAAGATTCTTTCTGAGAGGAGAAAAGCCACAAATGTTCACTCAGTGTCTGCAGTTGTGGACGAAACGCAACACACAGCTTGTTTGGAGACCCCTATGCTCCCAGCGCCCCAGCCCACTTTTCTGCAATGCCCAGCTACAAATCTGCTTTGGGGATGGCTTGGCTTTGTGTGAAGAGTTTAACTAGCGTTCAAAACACTCCGGATTCAACACGAATAATTTATAACGCAGTAATTTACAAATCAAGCCGAGCAAGAGATCTCTAGCTAACCAAATTATCAAGAATGTCAATAAAGGCAAGGCAGGACCCCCTGCGGCTCACGCTCCCACCCTGGGGTCAAACCTGATGCCCATCAAATGTTATTTACAAAAGCAGGAGTTTCCCGACTCGACAGACTTAGACGACGCGCGAAAAGGCTGACCTTGACGCCCCCCACCCCCCCACCCCCGGAGCTCACCGGCGGCCACGCTCCAGCAGCCTGGACCCCGCCCCCGCCCCCACCCCCACCCCCACCTCCAGGGGGCCTCTGACTTCGGAGGGGAGGGAAGGAGCCTAGGGGAGCCCGGGGCGACCCCTTCGGCAAGCAAGCCGGTTACCGTGCGAAAACGTCGGGGTACTGAGTGCGCTGGAAGACGCTCTCCAGTTCCTGCAGCTGCAAGCGGCTGAACGTGCTGCGGCAGACTCGATACTGCGCGTCGTCGGGCTGCCGCCCCTCGGCGTCCTCCTGAGCCGGCTCCTCCCGCGGCTGCCGCCCAGGCTCCCGGTCGCCCTCGCCGCTCTGCAGGTTCGCGTCGTCGTCGCCGCCGTCCACCGGGCCAGGGGCTCCCGCGCCCACGGTCCCTTCTTCTTCTCCACCGGCCGCTGCCTGCTCCGCTTTGGCCTCGGTTTTCTCCTTAGCGTCTCCTCCGGCGGCGCCGACCGCCGCGATCACGGTCGGCGTCGCATCTGTACGGGGACAAAGCCAAAGAAAGGTCAGGGCGTTCTCGCTTGGGGTGTAGGGGGAGGCAGGGGACTGCCGCGGTCTGCGAGCGGCGCCCGCCGCCGCGCGGCAGCGCCCGCTCCACTCGCTTCTCTCAGGGAAGAGCTGGTTTCCCGGGGTTCCCTCAAGCCCTGTGCCTGTCGAGGGAGGCACTGACCGTCTACTTCTTCCTGCAGCCCCTCCACTCCCAGGCTGCGGGAGCCCATGTCTTCGTCGCTGCGCTCCTGGGGAGCGGCCATTCTCTCGGCGCTGTCGACGAAGTTCTGGGCCGGCGTTCTCTTTCTGGCACCTTCTTTCGTCACAGAGCATCAGCCTGACTGACGTCTAACGGCCCGCACGTTGGCCGTTAGACGGCCGCTCTAAGTGTCGCGCGGTGTGCGCTGGGTTGGATTTGCAGGAGGCGCACGCGACTAGGGCGTGGCCAAAGGCTAGGGGGCGTGTCTGCTACGGGGGGGGGGCGCTCGCTGTAGGGGGCGTGGCTGTGCGGATAACCGGGCGCTAAAGCTTACCCTTTAACCCTTTACCGGGCGGGGGTGGGGACTTGCCCTAAGGAGATGCGCTGGCTGTGCCAGTTGGTTTGGGGCAGGGGGGGGGGCGGAGGGAGACATCGGGCTTGCGCCCCAGAGCTTCTGGAGAAAGTTCTGGAGAACTTTCTCAGGCGAGAGACGCCAGGGGCTGGAGAACGCGCGGAGGCATCGGCAGCTCCAGTACCCTGAAGTGAAGGCTTTGCCCCTCGAAACGTGGCCGTTCAACACTACTCTCTCCTCCGCAGCTGGTAGCCAGTGCAAAAGTCTCTTGGTGCTGTTCCGCTCCCCTCCAAAGTCCGGCAGTCAGGCTAGTGAGTGAGATGACATGATTGGGTAGGCGACTGCTTGCTAGATTTTTACAACCACGTACTGATAGTTGAGAGAGCTATGCTCTCCGGGGCTTGGGGGGCAGGGGTCTACAGAGGAGAGCTTGGGGTTGGGTTTGCGCAGCACCTGGGTGCTCGGGCGCAAGCTGCAAGAAACCCACCATGCCCCTTGCAGAAGCTCCAGGCACTCCACGTGGAAGTACAAGTGTAGGCTTGTGCCCAGTTTCCTGCATCCAAGAATGTCTGCGCTTCACGTGGCCCCTCCTTTAGCTTTGGAGGCCACTGCGGAGCATGCAACAATCTGCTACATTAAGCTCAGTTCCCAAAGCCCCTGCTGCCAATCGCTCTACAAAAGAGCAGATTCCCTGTGCTGGGCTAGTGCTGTAGAATGGAGTTAATTCCTGCCTTCTCCTCCTCCTTCTCCCTCCCTCCCTCCCTCCCTCCTCCTAGCCCTCCCTCCTCCTTTCCTTCTCACACCCTTTGTCTAGAACTATCCTCCTATTTACCGGTTGTTCCCCACTGATAAATAGCAAGCCAAAAACAGGGCACACTGAAGGCTCAGTGTTTGTACATTCAAGGAGTGTTTGCCACAGGATGCCTTAGGACCCTGAATACTGAGATAGCTCCTAATAAAGCACCTTGTGCTTAGCAATGTGCCTTATTTATCTCACTTTTTACTTTCATAAGCACCATTGTCACCAGGCCCACTTAAATAATAAACCATCTTCATGTTCTCCTCAGAGTACAATGGACCCTACTCACCTCATTTTTTTTTTTTTTTTGAAAGGCAGAGTGGACAGTGAGAGAGAGAGAGACAGAGAGAAAGGTCTTCCTTTGCCGTTGGTTCACCCTCCAATGGCCGCCGAGGCCAGCGCACTGCAGCCGCCGCACCACGCTGATCCGAAGCCAGGAGCCAGGTGCCTCTCTTGGTCTCCCATGTAGGTGCAGGGCTCAAGCACTTGGGCCATCTTCCACTGCCTTCCCGGGCCATAGCAGAGAGCTGGCCTGGAACAGGGGCAACCGGGACAGAATCCGGTGCCCCGACTAGGACTAGAACTTGGTGTGCAGCCGCTGCAGGCAGAGGATTGGCCTAGTGAGCCATGGCGCCGGCCAATACCTCATTTTCGAAACTTGAGTCATTCCTGTGCCTTTTTGGTTAATGTTGTCAATCTGGGCATTAGAAAAGCTAACATTTACTTAAAATTTTTAGTTAAATCGATTCACTTCTTGAAAAATTACACATCGAATTGAGGCTCATATAAGCAAAAATAGGCACAAATAAGATTTTTTTAAAAGATTTATTTATTTATTTGAAAGTCAGAGTTACACAAGAGAGAAGGAGAGGCAGGGAAAGAGAGAGGTGTCCTCCATTCGCTGGTTCACTCCCCAGTTGGCCACAATGGCCAGAGCTGTGCTGATCCGAAGCCAGGATCCAGGAGTCAGGAGCTTCCTCTGGGTCTCCCACGTGGGTCAGGGGCCCACGGACCTGGGCCATTTTCTGCTGCTTTCCCAGGACATAGCAGAGAGCTAGTTTGGAAGTGGAGCAGCCAGGTCTCAAACCCGTGCCCATATGGGATGCCAGCACTGCAGGCAGCGGCTCTACCTGCTATGCCACATCGCTGGCACCCACAAATAGGGTTAGATGTCCTGGATTTAGGAGGGCAGGGACCGTGGAGCCCTGCTGCTGGCGTCTGCATAATGGCTTTGCTGGTGGATTACTAGTTGGCTGAGCCATTGAGTTACTTTTTTTCTCTCTGCACATGTTTCCTCATCTGTAAAATGGGGCAATCCGAGCATCTCCCTAATAGCGTTGTTATGATGTTAACTGAGATACTTCACATGTAGCTTGTTCTTACTATGTTCTAGGCAAGGAGCCAAGTGATTTGTTTATATTAGCACACTTAATTCTCTTAACAAGTCTATAGACATAGATGTGCTGTTATTCTAAGTGTACAGGTGGTGATATTGCATCACTTATGAGACATTAGGTAACCTGCCCAAAGACTCGCACTTGGGAAACGTGCAGAGCTGAGATTTGAAACTATCCTCTGAGCACTATCCCTGACACAGAGGACATGCTCAATAATGTTTGCTATTATGCCATATGCTTTTATTGTATTTCTTTAATTAGTTAACTAGAGCTGACCAGAAATAAGAGTATATTTTCAACTCAAAATTCTCTTTACTTGTTTGACTAGCAGATTAGTGCCACAGATATCTATGAAAGCTTGGACATTATTAACCAAGGTATACATGGTGATACATTCAATACAAATAGAAAACAGGATGCTAAAAACAAGGGGATGATGAGTGGCCATTTAGCCTGGGAGTCAGAAATGTCTATGTTCCATATCTGAGTGTCTGGGCCTTTTATTTTCTAGCTCAGCCCTCGCTGTTGCTGGCATCTGGGAGGTGAATCAGCAGATGGAAGACCTCTGTGTGTGTCTCTCTGCCTTTCAAATAAAAATAAATAAATAAATTTTTATCACAAGAATATCAAATTATGATACCATAATATTATTAGAGAACATTGGGGAAACCTTGCAAGACTTTGGCATAGGAAAATTGTTCTTGGAAAAGACCCCAGAGGCATAGACAATGAAAGCCAAATTAACAAGTGGTATTACATCAAATTGAGAAGTTTCTGTACTGCAAAAGAAACACTCAAGAAAGTGTAAAGGTAACTGACAGAATGGGAGAAATTATTTGTGAACTATGCAACTGATAAAGGATTAATAACCAGAATATATAAAGAGATCAAGAAATTCCAAACAATGAAACAAATATCCCAGTGAGAAATGGGCAAAGGACTTAAACGGACATTTTTCAAAAGAGGAAATCCAAATGGACAACAGAAATATGAAAAAATGCTCAGGATCACTAGCTTATATGAGCCTCAATTCGATGTGTAATTTTTCAAGAAGTGAATCGATTTAACTAAAAATTTTAAGTAAATGTTAGCTTTTCTAATGCCCAGATTGACAACATTAACCAAAAAGGCACAGGAATGACTCAAGTTTCGAAAATGAGGTATTGGCCGGCGCCATGGCTCACTAGGCCAATCCTCTGCCTGCAGCGGCTGCACACCAAGTTCTAGTCCTAGTCGGGGCACCGGATTCTGTCCCGGTTGCCCCTCTTCCAGGCCAGCTCTCTGCTATGGCCCGGGAAGGCAGTGGAAGATGGCCCAAGTGCTTGAGCCCTGCACCTACATGGGAGACCAAGAGAGGCACCTGGCTCCTGGCTTCGGATCAGCGTGGTGCGGCGGCCGCAGTGCGCTGGCCTCGGCGGCCATTGGAGGGTGAACCAACGGCAAAGGAAGACCTTTCTCTCTGTCTCTCTCTCTCTCACTGTCCACTCTGCCTTTCAAAAAAAAAAAAATGAGGTGAGTAGGGTCCATTGTACTCTGAGGAGAACATGAAGATGGTTTATTATTTAAGTGGGCCTGGTGACAATGGTGCTTATGAAAGTAAAAAGTGAGATAAATAAGGCACATTGCTAAGCACAAGGTGCTTTATTAGGAGCTATCTCAGTATTCAGGGTCCTAAGGCATCCTGTGGCAAACACTCCTTGAATGTACAAACACTGAGCCTTCAGTGTGCCCTGTTTTTGGCTTGCTATTTATCAGTGGGGAACAACCGGTAAATAGGAGGATAGTTCTAGACAAAGGGTGTGAGAAGGAAAGGAGGAGGGAGGGCTAGGAGGAGGGAGGGAGGGAGGGAGGGAGAAGGAGGAGGAGAAGGCAGGAATTAACTCCATTCTACAGCACTAGCCCAGCACAGGGAATCTGCTCTTTTGTAGAGCGATTGGCAGCAGGGGCTTTGGGAACTGAGCTTAATGTAGCAGATTGTTGCATGCTCCGCAGTGGCCTCCAAAGCTAAAGGAGGGGCCACGTGAAGCGCAGACATTCTTGGATGCAGGAAACTGGGCACAAGCCTACACTTGTACTTCCACGTGGAGTGCCTGGAGCTTCTGCAAGGGGCATGGTGGGTTTCTTGCAGCTTGCGCCCGAGCACCCAGGTGCTGCGCAAACCCAACCCCAAGCTCTCCTCTGTAGACCCCTGCCCCCCAAGCCCCGGAGAGCATAGCTCTCTCAACTATCAGTACGTGGTTGTAAAAATCTAGCAAGCAGTCGCCTACCCAATCATGTCATCTCACTCACTAGCCTGACTGCCGGACTTTGGAGGGGAGCGGAACAGCACCAAGAGACTTTTGCACTGGCTACCAGCTGCGGAGGAGAGAGTAGTGTTGAACGGCCACGTTTCGAGGGGCAAAGCCTTCACTTCAGGGTACTGGAGCTGCCGATGCCTCCGCGCGTTCTCCAGCCCCTGGCGTCTCTCGCCTGAGAAAGTTCTCCAGAACTTTCTCCAGAAGCTCTGGGGCGCAAGCCCGATGTCTCCCTCCGCCCCACCCCCTGCCCCAAACCAACTGGCACAGCCAGCGCATCTCCTTAGGGCAAGTCCCCACCCCCGCCCGGTAAAGGGTTAAAGGGTAAGCTTTAGCGCCCGGTTATCCGCACAGCCACGCCCCCTACAGCGAGCGCCCCCCCCCCGTAAGAAGACACGCCCCCTAGCCTTTGGCCACGCCCTAGTCGCGTGCGCCTCCTGCAAATCCAACCCAGCGCACACCGCGCGACACTTAGAGCGGCCGTCTAACGGCCAACGTGCGGGCCGTTAGACGTCAGTCAGGCTGATGCTCTGTGACGAAAGAAGGTGCCAGAAAGAGAACGCCGGCCCAGAACTTCGTCGACAGCGCCGAGAGAATGGCCGCTCCCCAGGAGCGCAGCGACGAAGACATGGGCTCCCGCAGCCTGGGAGTGGAGGGGCTGCAGGAAGAAGTAGACGGTCAGTGCCTCCCTCGACAGGCACAGGGCTTGAGGGAACCCCGGGAAACCAGCTCTTCCCTGAGAGAAGCGAGTGGAGCGGGCGCTGCCGCGCGGCGGCGGGCGCCGCTCGCAGACCGCGGCAGTCCCCTGCCTCCCCCTACACCCCAAGCGAGAACGCCCTGACCTTTCTTTGGCTTTGTCCCCGTACAGATGCGACGCCGACCGTGATCGCGGCGGTCGGCGCCGCCGGAGGAGACGCTAAGGAGAAAACCGAGGCCAAAGCGGAGCAGGCAGCGGCCGGTGGAGAAGAAGAAGGGACCGTGGGCGCGGGAGCCCCTGGCCCGGTGGACGGCGGCGACGACGACGCGAACCTGCAGAGCGGCGAGGGCGACCGGGAGCCTGGGCGGCAGCCGCGGGAGGAGCCGGCTCAGGAGGACGCCGAGGGGCGGCAGCCCGACGACGCGCAGTATCGAGTCTGCCGCAGCACGTTCAGCCGCTTGCAGCTGCAGGAACTGGAGAGCGTCTTCCAGCGCACCCAGTACCCCGACGTTTTCGCACGGTAACCGGCTTGCTTGCCGAAGGGGTCGCCCCGGGCTCCCCTAGGCTCCTTCCCTCCCCTCCGAAGTCAGAGGCCCCCTGGGGGTGGGGGTGGGGGTGGGGGCGGGGGCGGGGGTCCAGGCTGCTGGAGCGTGGCCGCCGGTGAGCTCCGGGGGTCGGGGGGGGGGGGCGTCAAGGTCAGCCTTTTCGCGCGTCGTCTAAGTCTGTCGAGTCGGGAAACTCCTGCTTTTGTAAATAACATTTGATGGGCATCAGGTTTGACCCCAGGGTGGGAGCGTGAGCCGCAGGGGGTCCTGCCTTGCCTTTATTGACATTCTTGATAATTTGGTTAGCTAGAGATCTCTTGCTCGGCTTGATTTGTAAATTACTGCGTTATAAATTATTCGTGTTGAATCCGGAGTGTTTTGAACGCTAGTTAAACTCTTCACACAAAGCCAAGCCATCCCCAAAGCAGATTTGTAGCTGGGCATTGCAGAAAAGTGGGCTGGGGCGCTGGGAGCATAGGGGTCTCCAAACAAGCTGTGTGTTGCGTTTCGTCCACAACTGCAGACACTGAGTGAACATTTGTGGCTTTTCTCCTCTCAGAAAGAATCTTGCAATAAACCTGAATGTGACCGAGGCCAGAGTGCAGGTCAGTAAACCTGAAAAGAGAGATTAGGCCAAGATGCCAGTGTAAAACCTGCTCCAGGACGGTGACACCTTTGTCCTTCCCAGACATTCTCAAGTTGCTGTGTTTTTGTTCACTTTCCCGTGTTTGGGGAATGAGTTTTGCACTTCGGGGCTTTGGAAGCTGAGAAGTGGGATGAGTAAACCTCAGCTGGTGGAGTTTTCTTGGTGGTGGAAGTAACCTGTTTTCCTAATGGAAAAAAAATTAAAACAAAGCTGGTTCTTTTCTTTGTACAAATTTATATAAATAAAATTCAGCTCCTTCTAACAATGCCATCTTTTAGAGAACACTTTAGTGTGAAGTCGAGTTGGCTTCAATCTTACCTGTTAAGTATGTATATTAATGCATCAAGGAGCCAGATTATGAGTGGGTTTAACTATATAAAATTATTTATAATACTTAAACTGTGTTTAAGCTGTTAGCTAAATGAATGAGTTTATAATTGTTCAGACATTGGGATAAGGAAATAAATAATTCATACAAACAAAACACACTGTAAGAGTAACTAACTCTGAGACTGATGGGGGAGATAGCTTAAAAGTCCAACTACCTGGTTCCTATTGTTCCTAGTTTGCATTAAATCGGTGTTGAAAGTGGACCTAAATTTAAATTTCTGTAACACTGTGATATGTTAGCCTGAAAATATTACTGCAGTACTTGCATCAAGATGGGAGTAAGGACAACTTTTGCAAACTTGAAATTTGCCTAAAAATTGGAACAAACTAGAGCAATTTTACATAGAGCTTCACTGACCTAAGAAGGGGAGAAAAGGTTAAAGAAATGAATGCCCTCAAATATTTATCTTAAAATGTGGCACAAATTAACTTTATGAGTGAATAATCTCTTGAGGAATTTCTAATATCCAAGGATTTTTTCCTTGGGGGTACTATTTTAAATAAGTGGGTTGTGGTGGGGGGTTTTGGGGCTTTGGTGGCACTATATTAAGAGATGAGTTCTGTAAAATTTCTGGTTGGGGAGCAGATCCTCTCAAACCAGATTCTTACCTGTGTTAACTTGATATACTTTGCCATTTGCTCAAGCACGGGTGACTGATTTGTACCACTAGCTCATGGGATCAAAAGATTACCACTTGAAACCATCGAAAACCATAAATCCTGTTAAGGGAGCATTTTCCAAAATTAAGTGCAAAATCCAGGATTTTATTAGTTTATTAGCTCTGTTCTACAGGCATGTGTGTGTGTGCAGTGTTGGAAAGGAGCTGCAGATCTGGTGGTAGTGAATTTCGGTGAATTTAGACCCAGTTTGGCTAAATTTTCCTTAATTCTACAGCCTAAAATATCAAGACAGTATCCAGGGTATCAACAAACTCCTTTGCCAGCTAGTGAAGTCACAAACTCTGAGCCCCACCCCCCATGAAATTCTTCCTTATCAGACCATGTTTTTAATCTGAAGAGGTTTCAGAGGGTAAACGGCCCCTTAGATCTTCCTTGAGGAAACCTGTTTAAAAATCTAACTTGCCCATATAGATTACTTCAGACTGAAAATGGGCTTTTTAAATAAGGGCTGTTCACCCTCATTATGTCTTTTTTCAAAAAAAGATTTATTGAATTTTTTGAAAGTCAAGGTTACAGAAAGGCAAAGAAAGAAAGAGAGAGGTCTTCCATTTGCTGGTTCACTCCCCAGTTGGCCACAGTGGCCAGAACTGCGCCAATCCGGAGCCAGGAGCTTCCTCCGGGTCTCCCATGCGGGTGCAGGGGCCCAAGAACTCGGACCATCTTCTGCTTTCCCAGGCCATAGCAGAGAGCTGGATGGGAAGTGGAGCAGCCAGGTCTCGAACTGGCGCCCATATGGGATGCCAGCACTGCAGGCGGCGGCTTTACCCGCTAAGCCACAATGCCTGCCCCTCATTATATCATTAAATAGGGCCCACCTTATACCATGCTCAGCTTCCCTCAGGAGGATGTGGCAGAGGCAGCTGGACATCTGATAGCCTACTACCAGTATATCAATATTTTCTCATTCTATTACCAGGCATATCATTAATAGCAGGCACTGAATAGCACTCATCAGCTAGACTGGCATCCAAGAGCTGGAAAAACAAATCATTAAAGACTACTAAAGATGGGAAGAGAAAGACAAAGCACTAAGCCTAGTCTGAATCTGAACTGAAGGGAATAAGGAAATAGCCTCTCCCAGTGGAGTTTAAAATCTTAATGGCATAGAGTGTTGTATGTTGTAGAGTTTTTTTCTGTTATGACATTTACTGTTTGATATACTAAACCTACCCTTTTTTTCCTCTGATTGAAGGTTTGGTTTAAGAATAGGAGAGTCAAGTGGAGGAGACATCAGAGGGCATCAATGTTAAGAAATGTGCCCCCCGTCACTCTGGGCATAATCTTGAATAGGCCCCATAATGCCATCTTTGCTCAGGAGCCCGATTGGAGATGGGTTCTTCTGGAGCCACCGTCACTGTCACCCAAGCTGTCTATGCCACCCATGCCTCCACCGCCCATGCCACCACCACCCATGCCTCCACCACCCATGCCTCCACCACCCATGCCTCCTCCACCTTCACATTCCTTTGGCATGGCCTCGGTTGGCCTGGAGTGGGCCCCTGTCATTAGTGGCCATTTTGTAGTCCCCTTTTTGTAAGGAATGGCCTTCGTAAGAGTTTATCTGAAATGTTTTTCTGCCAGATTCAAACTGTGCATAGCATGTCAAGAGCAGTTCACCAAATGCCTCTTAGTGCCCTGTTTTTCCTGATAGGGCTTGTTTTTGTGATTTTCAATAAACTTGAATTCTCAGTATATTTGCTTTTGTGCATCGAATGGGGTTAATAGCACATGGATGGGAACTTCTGAGGGAATTTCATTCAAACAGAATGGTGAAGAGGCCTTTCTTCCTGAGGGACATCCCTAAATCACCATCACTAGGCCTGCACACATCACAGAAATTTTCCAAATATCCCTGGTATGTTTACACTGGCCCACACTCCCTCTGCGTTCTATCAGTCCATTTTCACCCTGGCCCTTTGGGACTATATACTGATATGTGTGCAAGATGGCATTCACTGAGCTCCTAGTGAGAAAATTGTGTTTCCAGAACCTTGTCCATGCTAGTACAAATGTTGAGGCCCAACACTAGACTCTTAAGGGAAACCCTAAAAGGCTACTCACAGGGTTTTATGGGAAGATGGCAGCCAAACCTTCATCTAGTATGCACCGACTGCTTCTCACTGCTCTCCAATTTTTGTGGAGGACATAGCCACTCTGGCCCAGAGAAACTGTTGCCTCAAAAGAAATGTGTCACACCAAGTGGAGCCACTACTTGGGACACCTGTATCCCATATCAGAGGGTCAGCTGATTCCTGGCTCCTCTGCTTCTGATCCAGCTCCCTGGTAATGCACCTGGGAAACAGCAGATCATGACCCAAGGACTGAGATCCTGGTGCTTACATGGGAGGCCCAGATGGAGTTCTTGGCTCCTGGCTTCAGCCTAGCCCAGCCAAGTTGTTGCTGGCATTTGGGGAATGAACCAGTGGATGGAATGTGTGTGTGTGTGTGTGTGTGTGTGTGTGTGTATATATATCCCTCTCTTTCTTCCCCCCTCCTTCTTCCTCCCCTCCCTTTCAAATAAATAAACATAAAAACCAATATGGGGGGGTGGTGCTGTGTTACAGAGGGTTAACGCCCTGGCCTAAAACACCGGCATCCCATGTGGGCACCAGTTCGAAGCCTGGCTGCTCCACTTCTGATACGGCTCTCTCCTATGGTCTTGGAGAGCAGTGGAGGATAGCCCAAGTCCTTGGGCCCCTGCACCCGCATGGGAGACCCGGAAGAGGCTCCTGGCTCCTGGCTTCAAAGGTCGGCGCAGCTTCGGCTGTTGCGGCCAGTTGGGGAGTGAACCAGCAGATGGAGGACCTCTCTCTCTCTCTCTGCCTCTCTTCTCTGTGTAACTCTGACTTTCAAATAAATAAATAAATTTTTAAAAACCAACAATATGGGGCCAGCACTCTGGCATAATAGGCTGGGCCCCCACCCACAACACCAGTATCCCATATGGGCACCAGTTCATGGGCCGGCTGCTGCTCTTCTGATACAGCTCTCTGCTATGGCCTGAGAAAGCAGTAGAAGATGGTCTAGGTGCTTGGGCCCCTGCACCCTCATGGGAGACCTGGAAGAAGCTTCTGGCTCCTGGCTTTGGATCAGTCCAACTCCACCCATTGTGGCCATTTGGGGAGTGAACCAGTGGATGGAAGACCTTTATCTCTGTCTCTCCCTCTCTCTGTAAGTCTGCCTCTCATATAAATAAATAAATCTTTTTAAAAATGACAAGAGACTCCATCAAAGCCAGAGTGACATTCTTCCCCCTTTTCCCTACATCCCCAGTCCAGGGGAGCCTATTACTGTACCTCCCAAGCTCAATACAATCACACTTTGAAATACATTTTGTTGCTTTCATTAGCCTTCAGAGAACTCTTACTATTTCTAGTTAAATTCAGAAAAGGAGTCATTTAGTTCAGTGCTACTTGAAGATAGAAGGAGATGATGCCCTGAGCAATGATCCAAAATAATCACTCACTAGAAAGAAGTAGCCATTTGTTCATGCTGTCTTCTTCATATGAAATTGCCAGAGTAGAAGACAACAAAAACAAAAATGGGGGTGGTGGAGGATGCCAATCCCATATTTTAAAAAATTAAAGTGCTCCTCAGTACAATCTTTGCTTTTGAGAATTATTAGCAATTCAAGGCTTCTTTGATGTAGTTTGCTGTTAAAAATGGTTAATTGTGAACATCAAGGTTACACTATAACATGATTGCTAAGATAAGGTACTATGGACTGCAGATCATTATATTCAAAGTTAAATAAGCCAAACACAGCAATTATCAGCTGTACTCCCTCATTTGTGAGGTTTTCTTTTTTAAATAGCCCATCGGGGCTGGCACTGTGGTGCAGTAGGTTAATCCTCCTCCTGCAGTGTCGGCATCCCATATGGGCGCTGGCTCAAGACCTGGCTGCTCCTCTTCTGATCCAGCTCTCTGCTGTGGCCTGGGAAAGCAGCGGAGGATGGCCCAAGTCCTTGGGCCCCTGTACCCACATGGGAGACCTGAAAGAAGCTCCTGGCTCCTGGCTTTGGGTCGATGCAGCTCCGGCTGTTGCGGCCATTGGGGAGTGAACCAACAGAAGGAAGACCTTTCTCTCTGTCTCTTCCTCTCACTGTCTGTAACTCTCTCAAATAAATAAATAAAATCTTTTAAAAAGAGTCCATCTAAATCTAGAACAGTCATTATTAGACTTTGGGAAGAGTGAAGGAATGAGTTAGAGGGAGATTAGATAAAGGGTAACAAGACACATTCAGAAGTAACAAGTTCTAGTGTTCCACAGCACAGTGAGGCAACTAGAATTCGTGATGATGCCATATATGCCATATAAAGAACTGGAAGAGGGGCAAGTATTTGGCACAGGAGTTAAGACGCCTGTTGGGATACCAACTTCCCATACCAGACTACCTGTGTTCGAGTCCTGAAACTGCTCCTGATTCCTGCTAATGTGTACCCTGCATGACAGCAGGTGATGGCTCAGGGTTTGGGTCCCTGCCACCCACATGGGAGGCCTGGATTGCATTCCCATCTCCTGGTTTTGGTCTGACCCAGCCCAGGCTGTTACTGGCATTTGGGTAATGAACAAGGAGATAGAAATTATCTCTCTATATATATATATATCTATCTCTATCTCTGTCTCTGTCTCTGTCTCTCTGTCTTTCAAATATTTAAAAGAACTGGGCCGGCGCCGCGGCTCAATAGGCTAATCCTCCAGCTAGCAGCGCCGGCACACCGGGTTCTAGTCCCGGTCGGGGCGCCGGATTCTGTCCCGGTTGCCCCTCTTCCAGGCCAGCTCTCTGCTGTGGCCCGGGAAGGCAGTGGATGATGGCCCAAGTGCTTGGGCCCTGCACCCCATGGGAGACCAGGAGAGGCACCTGGCTCCTGCCTTCGGATCAGCGCGGTGTGCCAGCCTCAGTGCGCCAGCCGTGGCGGCCATTGGAGGGTGAACCAACAGCAAAAGGAAGACCTTTCTCTCTGTCTCTCTCTCTCACTATCCACTCTGCCTGTCAAAAAAAAATTAAAAAAAAAAAAAAGAAGATCTGGCAAAGAAAAGTTAAGAAAATGGGAAGACTGGTTGCCTGGTTTGATTGGTTTGTGCTGTGTATTATGTGTTGAATTATTGTACTCTGCCCTATAAAGATGCACAATATTACATGTTAGCCAAAACTGTCTTTAAATAAAATTAAGAAGAGTTACTGTGGTTTCATCAGAATTTCCTCTCACAGGAGTTAAAGACCAGTTTCACAGCACTTATAAGAGAGTACCTCAAAAATTCATGGAAAATGGAATTTTAAGTTTATTTAGGTGCAAACAACTTTGAAATCCATACATATTAGTGTGTTTCCGGTGTAGAGAGGCTCTGTTTTCCTAGGAAATCATGTATATTTTCCTGTATTGTCCTCCACTTTGACTCCTATCCTCTCTTCTCTCTGACTTTCACACTTGTGAATATCAAACATAAGCAAAACAGTTGCATATAATGCAGGACTTCTGCAGAAAGAGATTTCTTTTTCAGAAAGGCTATGCTGTCCAGAGGCCCCAGACCTGGGCGGGAGTGAGAACATCTAGGAATACATGCCCTGTATATACACACTGCCATCCGCACCAGATGACCTTGAAAGCAAAATTTATTTATTTATGTATGTATTTATTTATTTGAAAGGCAGATGGCCGGCGCCGCGGCTCAGTGGGCTAATCCTCCACCTAGCGGCGCCGGCACACCGGGTTCTAGTCCCGGTCAGGGCACCGGATTCTGTCCCGGTTGCCCCTCTTCCAGGCCAGCTCTCTGCTGTGGCCAGGGAGTGCAGTGGAGGATGGCCCAAGTGCTTGGGCCCTGCACCCCATGGGAGACCAGGAGAAGCACCTGGCTCCTGACTTCAGATCAGCGCAGTGCGCCGGCCACAGCACGCCAGCCGCGGCGGCCATTGGAGGGTGAACCAACGGCAAAGGAAGACCTTTCTCTCTGTCTCTCTCTCACTGTCCACTCTGCCTGTAAAAAAAAAAAAAAAGGCAGAGTTATGGAGACAGACAGACAGAAAGTATGATAGAAAGATCTTCCATTCACTGGTTTACTCCCCAGATGGCCAAAACAGCTGGGGCTGGGCCAAGCCAAAGTCAGGAGTCCAGAGCTTCATCCCACATGGGTGCAGAGACCCAAGGGCATAAACCATCTTCCACTGCCTTCCCAAGTGCATCAGTAGAAAGCTGGATCAGAAGCAGAGCAGGGGCCAGCACTGTGGCGCAGTGGGTTAACACCCTGGCCTGAAGCTCCAGCATCCAGTATGGGTGCCAGTTTGAGACCGGCTGCTCCAATTCCAATCCAGCTCTCTGCTATGTCCTGGGAGAGCAGTAGAAGATGGCCCAAGACCTTGGGTCCCTGCACCCACGTGGGAGACCCGGAAGAAGCTCCTGGCTCCTGGCTTCAGATCGGCGCAGCTCTGGCCATTGCAGCCAATTGGGGAGTGAACCAGCAGATGGAAGACCTCTCTCTCTCTCTCTCTCTCTCTCTCTCTCTCTCTGCCTCTCCTCTCTCTGTGTAACTCTGACTTTCAAATAAAATAAATAAATAAATCTTTAAAAAAAGAAAGAAGCAGAGCAGCTGTGACTTGACCTGGTACCCATATGGGATGTCAGTATTACAGGTGGTGGCTTAACCCATTATGCCTCAATGGTGGCCCTGAAACCAAAATTTCTTACTTCCCAAT